AATAGCTGGGAATAAATGCGGGGGTGGCTCCGGAGCTGTTTGGTTTGATTCAGCGTTTTGACTCTGAGCATACTTCCCTGCATAATATCAAACAGCTACTTCAATTATCGGGTGACTGGAAGAAATTACTTGTAATCTCGTAAACACGGATGGAATGAAATAGATATATTAAGCCAGAGGGGGTGGGCAGTGATCATAGATTATAACAGTCTCATCTATCTATAATCAATGATAAAATCTTTCAAACACTTAGCATGTTAAATCTCAGAGCCCTGGTGGCCGAATGGTTAATGCGGCCACCTGGTAGCGCCTTGGGTGGGGAAACCAAGGCGCGTGGGTTCGAAACCCGCAGAGAATACATTAAATCCGGAACTCAAGCACCTCAGGTTTCTAATAAATACAGAGGTGTACAAATCGCTTCAATGAATCGCTCTATGTTCCTGGGCTGGGAAGTTATTATCGCATGTATCTAATTGTCACTCCTTTGTATTTTCCTATGTTCTTGTTATCTTGACGTGGTCTCAACACCTGTATTTCCTCCTGTATAATCAACACTTGACCTGTATTTAACATCACGCAAGGACTCATCATAAGCTCCGCTTGTATATGAGTATAATGAAAGAATAATAATAATAATAATAATAATAATAATAAATCTCAGAGTTTTAAGCATACAATCTTCATATTAAATACTGAAAGAAATTAGATACTGTAATATCTGATATAATTAGTTACAGACTTGATTTCATAAGTAAGAGTTCTACAAACCAGGTATAAGAAAAGTTCATGTTAAATACACTGAGAGAGTGTAAGAAATCAGAATGAGTGAACACTATAATCTCTTACTTAAAAAATGATAAGATATTGAATGACAAGCATCTTGTGAAAGTAGTAGAAGAGATACTTTCAAACTTCAAGCTGAGAAAATTAAAAAACAATATTATACTTTACTGTAATCTAGAATATACAGAAGCTCTCTATCTAGAATCTTCATTTAGATGTGACTTAATAACTCATATATATAAGAAATTTAATCACTTAGAAAGCTCTGAACTCATAAGTGTACTCAAATCAAGAGTATACTGATCAAGCATAACTGAGAACATTCAGATATACACTTATAAGTGTCTGAATTATCAGATTATAAAAGAATCTAAGAAAGAGTTAGAATATAAGAAAGTATAATATCAGATAAAGTGTACAATACAATTATTTAAACAATGAGAGATGAATCTCATAGATATATTACTGTAAACATCAAATGAAAATTAATGAATAATCACTGCTATTGATTATACTACTGACTGATCAGTCATAAAAGCAGTTTCAGAGATAATAGAGAAGATAGTGATAAAGTTTCTACACAATGAGATCTATATTAACTATGAAATACTATGTGAGATTCTAACTGATAACAATGTAAATCTTGTAGAAGAAGTAGTGAGACATTTCATAAGTCAGTTACAGACAAGATATTATAGAATAACATCATATCATTCACAGATAAATAGAAAGATGAAACACTTAAATAAAATCTTAAGTAATATGCTGATGAAATATCTAGTGAGTAAGTCTATAAGATTATGAGATGAATATCTCAGTCAGATGCTATTAGTCACATGAATTCAGTAGTATGCAGTCTTCAAGCATTTATCATTCTATCTGTTGTATGAATTGCATTCACACATCTCAGAGAATGCTTTAAAAAAGATGAGAAAGAGAACAGCAGTTATAGATGCAGCAGTAGCAGTTGTAAACATAACAGTTATAAATACAGAATCAAGATTGAAAGAGATCAGTCACACACATATAAAAGCTAATAAGTTACTTCTGAACTAAGCAATTCAATTGAAAAGAATACAAGACTTACTAGTTAAGAAATCAAGTCTCAAGATAAGAATGTGAGTTTTTATATGTAATAAGAGTTCTGAGAAGTTTCAATCTAGATGATTTGAGCTCTATAAAATACTCAAATCACATTCTCTGAGAACTTATACATTGAAGAAATCAGAGAAACAGATCTTATATAATTTAATAAATAATTCATATTTTATAAAGACAAAGATGTAAGATCTGAGTAAATTATAATCATTCACAGCACTCTCATCAGTGTTGAAGAAGAAGAGACTTATAATTGAAAAGTCTCACAAAGTAAGAGAAATCATAGATGCTTATGAATCAGATAATCTCACTTATTCTGATCTTTTCATAATTATAAGAAAAGAATGAGAAGAAATGAAGAAATCAGATGAATATCACACTTCAATAAGTAATGAGACTATAGTCAGTTATATGATAATACACTGTAGACAGTGAGTGCAATGTGATAAAAAGCAGTCTCAAAGCAGCAGACTTGCATATGAGTCAGATTACAGAAGAAAAAGAAATTCAGAGTTAGATTTAACAGTTTACATCAGTTCAATTACAGAGACAACAGAGAATAAAGCATCTGAAACATCTGTGAATATATAAGATCAAGTTATCTTGACTTCTGAGAACACTTAAAGATCAGATAAGATTAGTTTCAATAAGCTGTTTACTGTAGTAATCTAAGTGAGTAAAGAGAGACAGTATAATATATGAGATAGAATTATAAAAGATGAAAGCTGCTGAATCTAGTCACTGAATACTGTATTATATAGAGATTGTATAAGAGTAGTAACTAGCAGATAAAGAAAAAGTGTAAGAAAAGAAAAGAGATAATGAATTAATTATCAACTATAAGAGTCAGCTGTAAAAGACAAATATTATCATACACACTTCATTTATTTTCATATATTATATATTAATCTTTTTTCAACATCACATCATCTGAAAAACATTAAAAACAAAGAAAATCTCAAAACTTGAGATCTGTAAGAAATTTGAGAGCTGCAAGCTGCTCTTGTAACAATGCTGTATATATCTCTGATTTCTCTACTACTCTGCATACAACATTAATGTCATTTATCACAAGATTAACTGAAATATCAATATAGAAATGTGTATATATACATGTAGAAAAATTGAAGAAGAGTATGAGACCCGCAGAATCAGAAGTCAGAGCAGAGAGAGCAGAGACAGAAGAAATAAAAGAAGAAGACACAGAACTGAATGAACAACAGTAGAAGTCATCTGAGACTGAACACTTATAACTCAGTGTGTATACAACCTTCTCTGCAGAGAAGAGAGACAAAGTAATAAGAGAAGCTTAAGAGCAGAAGAGAGTAGTCTCAGTGATATTATTATTCTTGATTAGAATTATCTCTGATACTGAAGCAACTAAGAATCATTGTTAGTGTATGAAAACTGTAAAATCAGAAGTGAGAACAGTTACTGAATGAACATCTACTAATCTTAGAGTTATATACATAATTACAATATATATAAGACTTCTCAGAAAGAGAGAGAGAAATATGAGAAAATACAGAAAGTAAAATACAGCATGTAAACAGCTCATTCTTATAATAATATCTTAGATAAGATATACAAGTCTCACATCTGTGAGTGTAAAAGAGTATAATATCTGTGTTTCTGTTCTTAAAAACATGAATATCTTTTATCTGCATCATGAAGTCAGATAACAGATATTAGAGAATAGACTGATATAAATCTATCATTCTGAAGAAATTCACTAGAGTGAATATTTCTGTGATATTAAACTTTACAGTTATAAAAAGTTTCTTGATATCTGTGAATATTATGACTTTATATATAATAAAATCTATAACAATTTCTTCTAAGAACAGAAAAATCAGCATCAGAAAGAAAAGATAAAAAAGAAAAAAACTTACAATCTCAACACTGTTGAAGAGAGAGATGATTCTCTGATATAAATAAATAATTATCTTATCATGAATATTTAAAATGAATGTAATAATCAGTGTCTGTGACTGAGCTTCAGATAGTTGTGTTATACACTGTCTTTATATAATAAATCATTCTAGAGATCAGTAAGAAGAATGAGAGTATATATACTGAAAAATATAATTCACTAAGTCTATACAACATCTTCTTGAAATGAGAAGAGCTAGTAACAAAGGCAGCAGCAGAAGCAGAAGTAGCGGGAGTGAGAGTTATAAAAACAGAGATAGCAGAAGCAGGAGAATCAGACACAGAGACAAGTGTAGAAGATTGAGAGAGAGTATACTGGCCGCCAGGACCATGAATTTCACGTTTGGTTTCATTTGATCTGATCTCATACATTTCTTGGCGTGAATCCCGCTGGGACTGGCTATCAAAAAAACATGTAAAGTGACTATATATCAGATCTTAAAATGAAATCATGACTTGAAAAAAATGAGAAAGTGATCTCATTTGGTCCCATTTAGTCCCATTCTTGGCATAAAGTTACTATTTTTAGACATTTTAAGGTTTTTTTTAGACTATTTTTAATTTTTTAAAAAGTAACGGTTTTTGATAACACTCAAATGAGATTTAAAGTCATTTAAAGCAATAAAAATAATTTAAATTGAGAAGTGGAAATCATGGTCTCATTTGGAAAATGTGACAAGAGTAGACAGTAAGTTCCACTGAGACAGTATGAGACTACTATCTAATGTTAAAACCGTGTAATGGGATCAGTCGAATTGGTAATGAGACTATCAAAAAATCTGGTCCTGGTCCCAGACACGGTCACACGGTCAGTCTAAGAGAGAGTGACAGAGAAAGAAACAGAGAAGAGAGCAGCAGAGAAAGAAGCAGTAGAAGAGACAGAAAAGAATGTAAAAGACTCAGTTACATATAATACAGATAATTTCTTCATTATTACATTCTTCAAGTTCTTAATCAATGATTCAATATTAAGTTCACTATCATTGACAGATGTGAATCTGTCAATATATGAAGATTCTATATAAATAAAAATAAACATATCAGCATCTGTATTCATATAAAATTATGTCAGAAAACACAATCAGAAACTCACTGAGAAGAAAAATGATCAAGAATATATAAGAAAGTGAAGAAGATGTATTATTCATGATAATACATTCTAGTAATTATTAGAAGATAAACAAGTTCTGATTATATATATTTCATAACATATTACACTTACTGCTAATAAACTGTCTGATATGAGCACTATAATGATGCTTGTTATGAGAACAAGAGATCATTGTCAGAAACATGTATAATATAATAGATAAACAGATAGAAGATGTTAAATAGAAGAAGAGACAGTAATCTTGAATAAGATGATGATAATATTTGATGATGACAATGATAAAGAAGATGATTGAAGAATGAGAAAAGTTAGTGAATAAGTAATATAATATAGTGAAAGTTTCTTTGTGAGAGTGTACATAGAATACTAGCTGAATCAGAAATAGATCACATGATCACAAACACTAGTAGCATACTAATTCACATGAAGCTAGAGTGAATGTCATGATTATATGAGCATGATCAAATCTGATAAGAGAGAATGTAATTTGAAAGAATGTATAACTGTCAGATAATAACACAGCTGCTTTCAAACTTGCTTACAAATGTAAAGAGGTCATAGCGGCCACTAATTAATTTAGCGTATGATATATAAGAAGCCGGCGTACACCTGTGATTGTACGCTGGCTTAAGCAATCTTTGAATGACATGTACACATTTCTATATTGATATTTCAGTCAATCTTGTGATAAACAATATTAATGTTGTATACAGAGTAGTAGAGAAATCAGAGATGTATACAGTGTTATTACAAGAGCAGCTTGCAGCTCTCAAATCTCTTATAAATCTTGAGTTTTGAGATTTTCTTTATTTTTGATGTTTTTCAGATGACATGATGTTGAAAATAGATTAAATATATAATGTATGAAAATAAATGAGATGTGTATAATAATATTTGTCTTTTTTTACAGCTGACTCTTACAGTTGATAATCAATTCATTATCTTTTCTCTTTTCTTACACTTTTTCCTTTTTCTACTAGTCACTACTCTTATATGACCTCTATATAATACAGTGTTCAGTGACTAGATTCAGCAGCTTTCATCTTTTGTAATTCTATCTTATATATTATACTGTCTCTCTTCACTCACTTAGATTACTATAGTGAATAGCTTATTGAAACTAATCTCATCTGATCTCTGAGCATTCTCAGAGATTGAGATGACTTAGTCTCATGTATTCATTATTATTATTATTATTATTATTCTTTCATTATACTCATATGCAAGTGAAGCTTATGATGAGTTCTTGTATGATGTTAAATACAGATCAAGTGTTGATTATACAGAAGAAAATACAGATGTTGAGATTATATCAAGATAATAAGAACATAGAAAAATACAAAGAAGTGACAATTAAATACATGTAATAATAACTTCTCAGCTCAGAAATATAGAGTAATTCATTGAAGCAATTTATACATCTCTATATTTATTAGAAACCTGAGATGCTTGAGTTCTGAATTTAATGTATTCTCTGCGGGTTTCGAACTCACATGTCTTGAATTCTCATATCAAGGTACTACTTAGTGACCGCATTAATCATTCAGTCACTGAGACCTTATGTATTCATGAATGTTTCAGATGATTCATTCTCTATTATCTCTGTGATTAAACTGATGTAAATAGTTGAATTTAACTCTGAATTTCTTTTTCTTCTACAATCTGACTCATGTATAAGTCTGCTACTTTGAGACTGCTTTTTACTATGTTATACTCACTATCTGCAGTGTGTTATTATACAACTGACTACAGTTTCATTACTTATTAAAATATAATATTTATCTGATTTCTTCATTTCTTCTCATTCTTTTCTTATAATTATGAAAAGATTGAAATAAGTGAGATTATCTGATTCATAAGTGTCTATGATTTCTCTTACTTTGTAAGACTTTTTAATTATAAGTCTCTTCTTTTTCAACACTGATAATAGTGCTGTGAATGATTATAATTCACTCAGATCTTACATCTTCATCTTCATAAGATATGAATCATTTATTAAGTTATATAAGACTCATTTCTCTGATTTCTTCAATGTATAAATTCTCAGAGAATGTGATTTGAGTATTTTATAGAGCTTAAATTATCTAGATTGAAACTTCTCAGAATTCTCATTGTATATAAGAACTTATATTCTCATCTTAAGACTCAATTTCTTAACTAGTAAGTCTCATATTCTTTTTGATTGAATTGCTTGATTCAGAAGTAACTTGTTAGCTTTTACATGTATATAGCTAATCTCTTTCAATCTTGATTTCATGTCTATGACTGTTGCATCTGTAACTGCTGTTCTCTCTCTTATCTCTTCTGAAATATTCTCTGAGATGCGCAGATGCAATCTATACAACAGATAGAATAATAAACACTTAAAGACTGCATGCTGCTGAATTCATGTAGTTAATAATGCCTGACTGAGATATTCATTTCATAATTATATTAACTTACTCACTAGATATTTTATCAGCATGTTATTTAATATTTCATTCAAGTGTTTCATCTTTCTGTTTATCTATGAATGATATGATGTTGTTCTATGATATCTTATCTATAACTGACTTATGAAATGCCTCATCACTTCTTCTATGAGATTCACATCATTATCAGTTAGAATCTCACATAGTATTTCATAGTTGATATAGATCTTATTATGTAGAAACTTCATTACTATCTCTTCTATCATCTCTGAAACTGCTTTCATGACTGATCAGTCAGTAGTATAATCAATAGCAGTGATTATTCAACAATTTTCATTTAATATTCATAGCAGTATGTCTATGAGATTCACTTCTTATTATTTGAACAGTTATATTATACATTTCATCTGATATTATACTTTCTCACATTCTAACTCTTTTTTAGATTCATTCACAATCTGATAATTCAGACACTCATGAGTATATATCTGAATGTTCTCAGTTGTGCTTGATCAGTACACTCTTGATTCAAGTACATTTATGAGTTCAGAGCTTTCTAAGTGACTAAATTCCTTGTGTATATAAGTCACTAAGTCATATCTAAATAAATGTTCTAGATAGAGAGCTTCTGCATATCCTAGATCATGATAATATATAATATTGTTTTTCAATTTTCTCAGCTTGAAGTTCAGAAGTATCTCTTCTACTACTTTCATAAGATACTTGTCATTCAATATCTTGCTATTTTCTAAGTGAGAGATTATTATGTTCACTCATTCTGATTTCTTGTACTCTCTCAGTATATTTAACATGAACTTTTCTTATGTCTGATTTATAGAATTCTCACTTATGAAATCAGGTCTGTGACTGATTGTATCAGATATCACAGTGTCTGATCAGTGATCTCTTTCAGTATTTAATATAAAGATTGTATACTTAAAACTCTGAGATTCAACATACTAAGTATTTGAAAGGTTTTATCATTGATTGTAGATAGATAAGACTTTTATAATTCATAATCATTATTGTTATATATCTGTTATTAATATATCTATTTTATAATATCAGTGTATACTTAATCACTAGTAATTTCTTTTCATACACTGAGTAATTGAGCTCAGTGTCTGATAGTTTTCTATCATTGTATATTATCAGATGCAGCTTGCTATTCTTACTTATCTGTAGAAGAGTGTCTCTGATAGCTCATTCAAATGTATCTGTCTCAATATAGAATAATTTATCACAATCTGATTGAATAAGTACTAAGAATATTATTATACATTTTCTCAGTGTGAGAAAAGTCTTCTCACACACAGTATTTCAGATAATTGAATAAAACTTCTTCTTTCACAGATTTGCATTCATTTCTCTTAAGAGATCTGAGAGTGATATAAATATTTATATAAAATTCTTAATGAATCTGTGATAATATGAGATTAACTCAAGAAACTGTTATATATAGTATACATTTCTCAGCTGCAGTCAATTCACTATAACATTCAATTTCTTCAGAATAAGATATATACAGTTATTACTTACTACATGTTCTATAAACTTCAACTCTTTCATTTCAAACACATACTTTGTTAATTTAATGTAGAGTTTATACTCTGACAGAGTTATAAGCACTTTATCAAGATACTTCAGATATTCATTATATAAGTTCAAGAAGACTAGAATATTATTTAGATATATAAGACATGAGATTTTATTCTATTTATAAAGAATTATATTCATCATTATTTGAAAGATAATAGATGTATTTATCAGACTGAATAATATTATCAGAAATTCAAACTTCTCTCATTGCATATTAAACATAGTTTGCAGAACTGATAGTTTATCTACACAGATCTGTCAGTATTCTGAGAGAAGATTGATCTTTGATAGATATCAGATGTTTTCAACTGTATTCAACTATTATTGAATCTGTGATAGTGAATATTCATTCTTAATTATAAGCTTGTTAAGTGCTTGATAATTAATATATATTCATCACTTCTTATCTGTCTTTTTTATAAATAGAACTGGAAAGCCTCACACACTTGATAAGAATTATATAAGACTATATTCTAGAAGGTCTGTGATCTGATGCTTCTGTTCTTTAAGATGTGTTTGTAACAGAGAATACACATTCTGATTGACTGATTTCATATTCTCTGTGTCAATCTCATTTATGAATTCTCATTCTGGCAGTAATTTCAGTGAAAGATCTGTTCAGAAGATTTTTTCATACTTCTTCAGAAGCTTCTTTATACACTTATTATCTTATATATTCTTTATCTTGATTTTCTCTGCTTCTAGATTCTGTATGACATACAGAATACTTTTGAATGAGATCTTGTAAATCATTCTCTTTACTTATTAATGTATAAGCAGAATTAACTCTTCTATATCAGAGATATGAAATGTTCTTCTCATATTTATTGATAGAATTACATGAATCATTTTCTTCTTATCAGTCAACTATATATGACATGTATATCATTGAATCTGTGAATTGAATCTTTGAAATTAATTAAGTCTGAGAATAAGATTATATTTCATATTCTGCAGCTCTCACACTTAAATATAGCAAGATCATTCTTCAAAGTACAAGAGAACTCTTACTCTTACAGATGATATTAAATATTAGTTATCAGATAATCTTATATATTAGAGATTCTTCACTCAGCAGATCTCTTTCAGTCTTCAGATTATATAATTATTAATATATTATATAGAAGCTTCTATATTTACTAACACTTTTACAGTCATCTCTCAATTCTTACTCAAGTGCTCTTTATACATTAATATTTCAGATCTTAAGGTATTGAAATAAGTATTCACTTCATTCTCACTCATACTTCATTCAGAAGCCTGCTTTCTCTTGATATTTACAGAATTCAGAGAATTATCTATCACAGACATCTCTTTCACTTTGAAGACTTTTTATAGAATATCAGTAAGTGTTTTCAAGCTCACTGATTCTGTTAGTTTTTTAACTCTCTTACTTCTCTTGACTGTATACACTGTGTATAATTCTTTGCATCATAATTCTGATATCTGCAGTTAAAACAAGCTTAATACTCATAATATTAAGATTTTCACTCAGAGAATTTCTTTTTCAAAGAATTCAGTGCTTTAGTAATAATATTCAGATCTAGATTTATTATATTCAGATATATAGCTTGTGTTATAGAAGTCTGATTATCTATTCTTTACTGAGATATACTCAATTGCAGTATTTTCTGTTATAATTGACTTACTTATTCTTATATAATAAGAATATTGTATACTTCTTTCACTGTGTCTGATTATAAGATTAAGTATTTTCATTTCACTCTCAACTCAGATATAAGATTATGAATGAAGATCTATAAATAGAAAGATATTAAAAGCTCTTTATTCAATATAAGATAGTATAAGCTGAAGTATATAAAGTATGATATAAGGTTACTCACTTATCTACACTTAGTGAAGTATTTATAACACTTATCTTATATATTTACTTTCTCAAAGTTGTACAAGATTCATTTGAAAAACTCATTTTATATTTATAAGAATGAAGAATGAATATCACTCTGAGTCTGTAAGATTTATCTTTTCATTAATTATTTATAATAACTTTGCTTTTCTGTGTAGAAACACTGCAGATCTTAGAACTTGTTGAAATTTTATTAACTATCTGTTTATAAGTTTATATTCAATTTAATAATATAATTGTATCTGACTTAGCTAGCTGATTACAGCATTATTTTTTCAGTTACTATTAAAGCTTAATGACTCTGACAGATCTTCTGACTTAATATATCTCATATTCAGATTCTTATTCTGTATAGCAGTCTCTGATATTGTGTATACTTCTGAAGAGATTATGAATAATTATAATAAGATCTTCAGATTTAGTATAGTTATCTATCTATATAAATATTTAATCTCTCACTGCAGATCTAAGATTTAATTTTCTCTATTCTTATTAATAATAATGATTATATCAGTGAAGCTCTTCATAGTGAATACTTAATTTACAGTAAATATTAATTGTTATTGAACTTTCATCTCAGTCTGTCACTATGTACACAAGATCTCAATCTCATTTAGAATTCTTGTATATATACAGAGCTTCAATTTTAGTTCAGCAGTCTCAGTTATTTTTCTTACTGCTTTAAGTAAATTCTCTGAGAGATTCTGCATATCTTCTGATTCAGATAGCAGAGAAGAGTGTTGTTTATATTAACTAGAGAAGATATTTATTTTAGTGATTTCTTATTAATTGTATAATATCTATTATTATATTACTATATCATTATATTACTATATAATTTCTATTATTATTATATAACTTCAGTGATAGTTATCTCTCTTTTATTCTTCTGAGTAGAGAGCAGTCTTCTTTGAATCTGATTCATTACTCTTATCTCTTTTTCTCACATCTCATTTATTCACATACATGGTATTCATCTGAGTATGAAGTTTTTCTTCAATAAGTAAAGCAGTATCAATCAGATACTCTTTCACTCATTATTCTTTATATACTATCTTTTAAGATATTTTTAGAATCACACTGACATAATAACTATAAATTACTTTATAGACAGAATTATCACATTCTGAAGAAGTCTGCACTTCTTATCAGTTTTTAGACATACTATCAGATGTGATTTAAAAGTTGCTTAAGTCAGTATACAATTACAGATGTATGCTGACTTCTTATATACTGTATACTAAATTAATTGATGACTGCTATAGTCTCTTTACATTTATAAGCAAGTTCAGAAGTGACTGTGTTATTATTCAACAGTTGTATATTCTTCTAAATCACAGTTTTTTTCTTAATAAGCAGAGCAGTATTAATCAGATGCTCTTCTACTCACTACTCTTTATATACTATTTTTTAAGATGTTTTTAGAATCACTCTGATATAATAACTATGAATTACTTTGTAGATAAAATTATTATGCTTTGAAGAAGTCTGTACTTCTCACTAGTTTTTAGACATGCTATTAGATATGATTTAAAAATTGCTTAAGTTAGTATATAATTATAGATGTATATCAGCTTCTTATATATGTTATCTAAATTAATTAGTGGCTGCTAGAGCCTCTTTTATATTTATAAGTGTGTTCAGAAGCAGTCACATTATTATTCAGTGATTGTACATTCTTTCAAACTATATCTTATCACTTCATTATCACTTACAAGCTTACAGACACAGCAATCACTTCATCACAAACTCACTCAATTTTTTGAATAAGAACCTGCTGATAGATTCATTAAAAAGCCCTTGATCATACAAGCATTTTGACCCCATCGCTGACCGCATACCCCGTGTGGTAGTGAAGTTATCCAGCCAAATGTGAACCAGATATTGTTCAAAACTTCTGTGTAGGATTATCCTCTGTTCTCCTCTACTACATCACAACCCTGAGCCAAATTGCCATACAAATTGTAAGGTGAAAAGACCTAGTCATATGCATCAATCTTCTCAATTTTGAAAGATCTCTGATCTGTAATTGTGAAGATATCTGAGGAGTGACATCCGCGAAAACCCTGTTTATCTTTGATGTTTCAATACATCAACACTAAGTCTCACTCTCATACTACTCTTCTCAATCTGGCTCATCTCTGATAGAAAAATACAAAAAGATATCTCAGTAATAATATCAAGTATATAATCAATGAACACTTCTGAAGTGCAATCTTCATGAATACTCTGCTGTTTTCAGTGTATCTAGACATTAACATCAAGTCTCACCCTTATACTGCCTCTCTCAATCTGGCTCATCTCTGACAGAATAATACAAAAAGACACCTTGACAACAGTACTTGATACATAATCAGTGAACAATGAGTCAACAGAACAAGTCAACGGCATATTAACAACTATAAATTCAGTATATCTCAAGATCTGACTGAGTCTTTAATCTCTGTATAGTGAGATATATTAAATCTAGTTTTAATATCTCAATATTCAATAGATTCTGCAAGAAATTGAGAACAGCAATACTAGATTTCTATTAAATTTGAGAATTAACTCTATATTGATATAATCATTGACAAAGTCTTCTATTTTGAGATATAAATAATCAGTTTCTCTACATTCTGCTGACAATATTTATATTATTATATAGAAACAGACTTATATTCTTCATAATATTAAGACTCTGAAGAGAAAAAGTCTTGATAAAGAGTATACAGTAGTGTATATTTTAGCAGTTTCTATCTCATTCTTCTGCAGCAGTTAATACAATAAAAAAAAGATCTTAGAAATAGTTTTTTACTTCTCTTGAAAAAGTAAGATGTTTTTCTCTGAATTTTATATAATATTCTTACAAAGAATTAAAAACAGAGTTGTTTTCTGTCATAATTTCATATTCTTTTAAGTAAGAATTACTTTTTCATTGACTGAAGAGCTTTTATTAATACTTAATTCTCTTTTACACTTTTTATTAACTGATTTGAGTTGCACCCTTGTTGTGTGAGAAGAATTGAATGATTTAGAATAAAATTGAATAGTTTTAATTAATTTCTCTGCAAAAAATTAACTTATTTTTTATCAGTTTTTCTCTTAAAAACTGTTATATTATTTGATTTATTATCAATTGATATTATACTTTTTCTCACTGTATTCTAAGAAAGAGTTTGTAAAGATTTTATTAATTTATCTTAAAAATTAATTTTAGTTTATTAGATTCTCTTTAAAAATCTAACCTAGTTACTGAACTAGTGTGAAAAAAATCAGGTATTTTATACATAAAAGTCTTTCATTCTTCTTTTGAAACAGTCTGATCAACTTTTCAATTGAAAATAGACTAATAAATCTCTCAACTGAAACAGTCTGATCAACTTTTCATTTGAAAATAGATTAATAAATCTCTCAATTGAAACAGTCTGATCAACTTTTCATTTGAAAATAGACTGATAAATCTCTCAATTGAAACAGTCTGATCAACTTTTCATTCAGTGAGTAAAATGAGTTCAAGAGTACACTCAGTTGATGTGAAACAAGATGTTTTCCCAGATGCTGTTCCTGAGATTGAAATTCTAAAGAGAAGAAAGAAGAAAGAAATAGAGAAACAATAAGTTCTTGAAATACAGAAACTGAAAAAAGCAAGTAAAATTCTTGAAAAACAGTGTCTGAGTGAGAAGAATGAAGAAGTTCTATTAATTCTTTATACTCAGACTAGATAACTACAAGAAGTGATCAAGTTCAAACTTGAAATTTCAAACACAATTTAAAAAACATTGAAATCTTCTAGTACAGTTACTGACTCTTTTTCATCTTCTACTTCTTCATCTTCTTCTTCAAATCAGAAGAAAATATATGCTTAAGTAGCAGAATCTACTGTCTTCAAACCTGCTAGTTCAAAATCTGCTCAAAATTCTGAGAAAACTGAGAAGAATATTACTCAGATCTCTGTTCATAGAAAGAAAAAAAAAGAAATGTAAAAAGAGAAGAACTTTCAAATCTTTAGAAACAGAAGACTTATTCTCAAAGTCTCAAATCAGAAGAGCTTGTAAAAGAACAAGCTAAACTTAAATCTTATTTTCAGAATTAGAAATGAAATTAATCAGCAGTTCTTTTCTCAGTTAATAACTGATATTGAAGTTCAAAAATCAGTCATAGCTTTAATTGAGTTATCTTTCTTTAAAAATTCTATTATTTTGACTACAATGCCTGAATTTAGTGCAGAATTTCTCATTCAGAATGAGAATCTCTAAAAATCAGTAATAGAATCTCTACTGAATACAACAATTCTATCTGAGAGAGATGAAAAGTGAGATAAATTTATTCTTCATAATATTTCAGTTGAAATTTTTGACTGTGAGAAAGAAATGCTACTTCTTAAAAATGAATTAGAAGAATACAATTCTATTCAACTGAGAAAAGAGTCTGTATAACTTAATTTAATTGAGTTCAGACAGAGTAGAAGAAATGTCTCTGTTCTAATATATATAAAAATACTTGAATAATCAAGAATCTCTGAAGTAAGAGTAGCAGATTTGAAAATGAGAGTTCATGAATACAAAGACTCAAGAATGAATCTCAAAGCTTAAACACAGTGTTCAAACTGTCAAAGATATGAATACTTTGCAATCTCTTATTTCAGAGACTCAAAATACACATTCTGTGCTAGAGATCACAAAACTAGTGAGTATAAATATGAAACATGCTTAAAAAGAGATGAAATATGTCAACATACTCTGCTTAAGTACTTCAATTGTAAAGAAAAACATGCATCTAGCTTAAAAGAATATATATTTACTTCAAGAACTCAGAAGAACTGAAGAAAAGATAAAGCTTAAAATGAATCTAAAACTGAAGAGAAAAGTCAAGCTAGTAAATCTATAACTGTAAACTTAAAAAGAAGAAACTCTCAACTATCTAGATCTTCAAACTTCAATTCTTCAGCTAAATGTAAATAGAATTTGAATCCTCAAACATCTGTTAAGATTAGAAGAATTGAGAAATGACTCTGATAATAAACTAGATAGAATGCAAGCAGTTGAGATTCCTGCTTTTCAAAATAGTTATAATCTACTATCTGATGATAGTGATTAGATTCTACTATATCTTCACTCTCTTTTAGTATGAATGTATAACAAAAATAATAAAAAAAGTTTAAAAACTCTTCAAAAATTATATTTATTCAAAACAATGTGAATAGAAACTCAAATTGCATTTATTCTTGTCTTCAGATTATATTTGAATAAAAAGTCAACTTTGTACTTCTTCAAGAATCAAACTTTGATACTGAGTAAAAGTACATTATTTCTCATTCAAGCTATTACTGCTTTCTTTCTGAAAAATCTGAGATAAAATCAAGAGTAGTAATCTATGAGAGAAAAAGATCAAGATATTAATTTAATCTGAGATTTAATATTATATCTGACTCTGATATTCTAGTAAGTGATATTATAGATAAAGATAATGAGTTTAATACTATTTAACTTATAAATATCTATAATGAAAAATCATTGAAAGAAAATAATAATACCTGAATAATTGATAGAGGATTTTTGAATATAACTGTCTTAAAAAACTCTATAATTGCAGAAGACTTCAATGCACATTATTTCTAATAAAACTCACAGTGCATAAGAGCAGTAAGAGCAGATAAACTGATTGAATAAACTTTTAAACATTTAATAGATTTAGTTAATAAGTCTGATCAACAAATATTCTTCAGAAAAGATATGAAACAGAAATCTATTATAAATCTAACTTTCATATTATAAAATTTAATTAAAAAAAGACTTATAAACTGATTTATTAATTCAAATGAAATCTCAGAATCAGATCATGAGATCATTCAATTTGATATTGAACTGAGTGAAAAATAAAGAAGTGAAAATCCTCTTCTCTCTAATCAGTATAACTTTGAAAAAGCTGATTGAAAAGCAGTTGAAGAAAGAGTAAAACAGCTGAAATCTAAAAGATAGAGTGAGCTCTATTAAAATCAAAGTCAAGATATCTCAAATAAAATGCTTGAGAATAGAGTAAAGCTGATTACATCTATTCTTTTAATAAGTATTGAAGAAAATATTTCAAAGAAAAAGTCTTCTAAGTATTTCAAATCTTGATAAAATGAGAATATCACTTCTAAAAGAAAGCAATTAGTCACTACTAAGAGAGATTGAAAGAATAACTTATTATCTGATAAAGAGTTCAAAACTATTCAAAATGAATATTTTTCAGATATTAAAAAAGTCAAAACAGATTGCTGAAACAAATTTCTTAAAGAAGTATAAGAAAAAGAAGTTTTTAAAGCCTTTAACTATACTAAAACAAGAAGTGTAGCAAAGCTTTCAACCTTAGAATATGAATTTCAGAATGAATTGTATACAGTAAACTCTTTTAAGAAAAAATATCAAGCTTTTATGAGAATTCTCTTTCAAAACTCATCACATTTAGAAGAGAAGAATATGTCATTTCATGAATATATTGATGAAAATAACTGAGAATGATCTGAGCTTACATGTGATGAACTAGAGTCAGCAATATTCTCAAGTTCAATTAAAACTGCTGTAGGGCCTGATTCAATTAATCACTTGATTATTCAAAACACATATTCCTACTTAAAGAAAGAATATTTTGAGCTCTTTTTCAATCTCTTAAAAAATGATTATTATTCTAAATGCTAGAGAGAAGCTACTAAAGTAATTCTTACAAAATCTAATAGAAAAGCTTCAATTTCTAAGTTATATAGAGTAATATCTCTGTTGAACTGTTGAGAAAAAATTCTAGAAAAGATAATAGCTACTAGATTATCTTTTATAAGCTCTATTAGTGATTCTCTTCTATTTAATGAATAAATAAGAGATAGAAAACAATGTTCTGCAATTAATACTGTTCTCTCAGTTATTCATAATATTCAAGTAGTAAAGCATGAAGACCTGATCTCAACTGCAGTTTTTATTGATATAAAAGATGCATTTGA